TTATTTTTTTCAATGACTTAATCTATGAAGTTAAAAAGAGCATTGCTAATTAGATATTTAGTAGATCAATAATTAAAAATAATAAATCTAATTAATGTTAGTTAAATCTTAGGTAATTTTTGTCTTGTTTGAAGTAATTATCTTCAATTGATTGGATGACAACGAAAATAAGATGATCCTTGATGAAGATTAATGGATGATCTTCTTAAAAGAAAGACTGAGGTTAAGATAGCAGTTAAGCTTAGGAGAATTGTAAGGACTTTTAACTTTCAATATTTTTAATTTCTAATATGTTATTGTTGTGAGAGAATAGATGGAATATGTTAGAGCTTAGAAGTAGGACTAGAAAATCAAGAAAGAGACTTACAAGGCTAATTTAGGACCAATGTACATTTATTTAGATTATATAATTTGTATTGAGACCTTTTATATAGAAGAAAAAAAAATATATTTTATTTGATAGATCTTATATTTTATAGATATTTTTGGCTCAATCTAATAGGTAGGTATTACAAATCAAGTGATTATAAGTATAAATTTGAATTAAATCTGAGTAAATGGATGAAATTTGGCTACAAATCTAGATTTCAAAGATTTAAGAACAATGACAATAATTCATTTTTTTCAAGGTTTGATGGACAATTGGTTATTACCATACTTCAAAGAAGTATAATTTCATCTATTTATATGGTGTTTAGATCATAATGATTTTTTTATAGTAGTTAGGATAGTGTTGTTGTAGCAATGATAAGATAGATGGCAAATATAATACTTGATTAGAGAGGTAGCTAGAAATGATTTTAGCACCAAGCATTGGCAAAGAAGTTGCAACACACATAGATAACACATCTTTAGCAAAAGAGTTGAAAGCAACTCTAACAGCAAAAAAAATTAATCTTACACATGTGAGGAATGCAATTTTGTCACTATTAATCTCATTTAGCAAAAAAATGGACAATAGACATAGTAAGAATAGAAGTAAAAGTTAAAAATCAATAATAAATATAAGAAGCAATAATAAAAAGTATGGATTTACTATCCAAGTAAATGACAAGTTAATAAAATTTAAAGAATAAAATATGATGAGTAAAAACAAGAAAATATAAAAAAATAGTGAAAAGAGATATAGAATATTTTGATAAGAGTCTTGCTAGAAAATTAGACTAATAAATCATAAGATCTTAGTAAATAGTGAAAACTTAGCTAAGAAAGAGTAGTATAGGAGCCAATTCATTAAAAATCTAATGAATAAACTTGAAAAGACTAGAAATACATCTAAAAATTAATTATAAATTGTATTATACTATAATATTGTAAAAATCCTACGTAAAAACTTAAAAAACCTTTAGATAGTAAAACAATCTAAGTAGAAGCAATAGCTACTTATTAGTCCATAAAGAACTAAACAAGAGTAGAAAAAAGGATATATAAGCCAAGAACCAAATCCAAAGACTAGAACTTAAGGAACTAAAAGAAGGCTACAACAAAAAGAATCTAAGTTAGTCCTAAGTTTCATTTCAAATCTATTAGGCTCTTAAATGATAACAATTCCTATTATTGGTGACTAATATGCTTTTGCCTACATATAATTGAAATAAAATTTGGAAAAAAAATAAGTTCAAATTTATATTTGTAGTACCTTAATTCTTTACCATCTTACTTTGTTAATTTGATATTATGTGATAATTATAGTTATATAAAAATTAAATTTGATCTAATACTTCAACACATATAAAAAAATCCATGTGATAAAAATGATATCAAAATTTGGAAAAAATAGCTTTTATCTTAGAACTTTTTTGCAAAATGATTGAAGTCAATTATACATAAGTATTTTGAAGGAAAAAAAATTAATAAGAATTTAGGTTCAAAATTCAATTATGCTTATAATATCTAAGATAGATCTAATAGCATGGCTAAATGCCATTGGATCTAATTATAGCTTCCATATACTTTTAGATACTTCTATATAGTCATTTATTTTTCTTAAGAGTGATTAAAGTCTAATAATTCTTCATATGAGTCCATAATTCTAGGATTTCTTTAAGAAGAGTCTTACATTTATTCAATTAATATTTGGGAGTTGTCTACAAATATTTGATTGACTTGAAGTTGAGAGATTGTATTAATTATTTGAAGAATAAAAAATTTCTATAAATTTAATTTAAGATTAAGAATTTTAGAAGTATATTTTGAAGGATTATGATGTCGAAAATCACAATTTTTAGACTCAAATTATATGCATCTAATATATTAATCAACTTACAATATAAAATCTCATTGTAAAGATGTTACTTTATTAATTTCTTGATTTTTCACATCATACTTGGACCTTATATGGTTATGCAATTCCACATCAATACTCTTCTATCTCCAAACATCACCATTTCTTGTACTACTTTCATACTTAAAGATTTTCTATTATAAATCTAAATTTAGCTATAAGTATTGGAACAAGACTAATTCACCTATGTTTCATTATAGAACACAATATGTAGTCAATCATCATCTATCCATTGCTTTATGTTTTAATGGACATATCTTAATAATGTTATTTTGCTATGATACATAATAATGGTATATAAATCACATGTATAGAATAAATGAATATATCCTTGCTTTAGATCAAGCACAAAAAATCACATGTGAATTTTAGATTTTTTTTATTTAGATTACATCATTATTTGTAATTTAAGTTTTAAAAAAAAAAAAAAAAAAAAAAAAAAAAAAAAAAACTTAATTAAAGAGGTGGATGATTTAATCCATATGTTTTTCTCTCTCATTTGAATTGTTAAGCTTATACTTTGGTATCTACATCATTGACTTATTTTAGAAATTAATTTATTTTCTAATTTAACTTTTATTATAATATATTAGTCATAGTTTCTAATTAAAATTGAGATTATTGATTTCATATTAAGTTGTAATTGTCATTGCACACAATGGCCAAATTTAAAATATATTTATTATATTTTATTTTGTCACATTTATTATGCTAAATATAAAATAAAGACCTAAATTTTAAGAAGAAACTATCATTAAATGACGAACAAAGCATTTCTTAAACTTCTTAAGTTTATATAATTAAATTGCATTTTCTTTGTACAAGCTTAAAAGATTATCTAAGAATAATCTAAAGAAAAAAGATACAATGATGGTAGACAATTAAAAATCATCACTTGATATAATTATAAAAAGGTAAGATAATCATTTATATGCTATAATAAGCCTTATATTAATAAAAAAACTAAGATATGAGTAGTAAATAATGAAAAATGAATGGTGAACTATAAATCCAAAAAAATTTAAACCATAAATCATAAATCCTAAACCATGAACAATGAAAAAACTAAATTCTGAAATTGTAATTCATAAAACTCATATCACTATCAATTATTCACCCCTTACCATTCAATGCCCATTATTCATATTTTCTTCTCACAACTAAGCACTTCCTTGTACTAACATCCATCAACATCTACTTGCAAATAAGAACCACATAGAGGAATGAAAAGTGTTTGAACACTTAGTATGGCACATTTGCCTAGGATTTGAAGAATGATTGTCACTACAATATATATACAACAAGCACATACTAATTAAAAATAGATAGTATAGAAAAATTCAAACCATCTTTTTAAGCTTTATTGCAAAGAAAAAATGAAATTTATTTTTATGAAGCCATTTTCTTCTAAAACTTAGAATAAATTTTTTATAAAATACTTATTATTATTTTTAAATTCAAAAGAATGTAATAATAACTAGTAAATTTATCCAATCAACACACAATCAATATATATCTATTACTTTATATCTACCATTTTGTAAACCTCCACTATGTGACAATAATGCCATATATCAACTTCAAAGGCCTTCTCTTAGGCAACATTCAACCTTGACTCAATTTCCTAAAAATATCAGCAAAAGAAGGTCGTTCGCTTTCTTTCTCTAACCAACATCCTTCAATGAAAATCTTCAAGTGTAAAGGTATCCATTCCTATAATATTGGATGTTCACCACCCAATACTTTCTTCTTCATTTCATCTAACTTGTTAATTTCATAAAAAGGCACTCTTCCAACCAAGATCTCATAACATACCATTCCAAAACTATAAATATCACTCTTGAAGGGATCATAGGGCTTTGAGGAACCATTCATCACTTCAGGAGACATCCACCTAATCGTACCAACATCCAAATCTTCTTCCAAAAGTGTGTCCCTTGATGCCAACTTCTTTGAGAGTCCAAAATCAGCAACTTTAATCTCCAATTGCCTTCCCTTACTTGAAATCTTGACCAAAATGTTGCATGATTTTAGATCCCTATGTACAATATTCTTTCCATGGACATATTCCATGCCTTGTGCTATTTGGAGGATTATATTAGTTGCATCATCAATAGAAAAAGGGCTTGTAGGAGTGACTTTGTTATCTAACCTCTTTTGAAGCATAAATTGATTAAGGTCTCCATCCATGAGCTCCATTACAATTGAACATGAACGCCTATCTGCTACATAATGAAGTAGGCTTACCACATTATGATGCTTTAGATCTGCCATAATTTTTACTTCATTCACAAAGACTTTATTGTATGATCTCATGAATCTTTTTTGTGCAACATCCACTTGACCATCATTTTTAGGTCCATAAGGTTGATCACTCCACTTTGACAAGTATACAGTGACAATGTCAGATCTTCTTCTTCCCAATTGCCTCACTATTTTAAGTGAAGCATATTCTCCCTTGAATCTTGTTACTTACTTTGGTAAATCAAGAGCATTTGGAATTGGAGGGGTTGATTTGAGTGAGTAGTCTTCATCAAGAGGCTCTAATATTCAAAACATGGTCAAGATGGATGTCAATAAAAATTAGTCAACAATCACTTAGGTATTTTACTTGTTGTATGCATCCTAATGTAATATGTCAATAATATGTAAACCATTGTCTTTTTAATTCAAGTATAAATTTATTGCAAGAGCATAACTTTTAGGAGACATTGAATTAGAACAACTTCAAACCTAGAATGTCAAAAACACATTCTAAACACATTCTAAGGCCATTGTTTGTATAATATATTCAAGAGCTTGCTCCTTCTATATTTCTCTCTTCCTTAGCTTTAAACAAAATCCTACGAATTGGCCTTATTAAAATGTTCAAGTTATTTCTTTACAAAGGTTGATATTCAATATTATCTAAAATCATTCTTAAAAACAAAATGTGATTTTCTATTGGCTGATTAGAATATTCTGTGTATGAGAAGAAAAAATTTATAATCAAATTTGCAGAACATTCACTTTACCAGACTTACATGATACTTAGCTTTGTCAACAATCAAGATGTAAGAATTGGAACTTACCTAGAAGCAAGGAGCACCTGATATACACTTTGGAACACCAGTAAACAGAGTTGTAGCCTTTTGAACTCCTCACTAAAATATTTGATGGCGTTAGATCTCTGTGAACAACTTTGTTCTGATGCATGTAGTGCATGCCTTCTGCAACTTGCAGCATAATGTCACATGCTTCCAATATGCTGAATGGACTATCACGATTGCCATCCTCGTGCATTCTGCTATCAATCACAACCTGCAGGTCTCCTTCCATCAACTCCGAGATCAAGGAAAAAGAATTCTCATCCACCATATAGCTAAGAAATGGCACAATGTTGGGATGAGATAACTGGGAGAATATGGCCCCTTCATTCAAGATGTATGTGTCTAGAACATTCATATTACTGTTCTTTGTAGCTACTTCCATTGCTCCACACCACACTGCACTATACACTACACCAGTGTTTCCCAGGCTTATAAGTTTCATCTTATCAAGACATCCAATGCCTACTTCCACACTTCCTACAGATGCCTCCCATCTGTACCCTTCATGTCACCTGACGATTGTGGTGAGCTCTTAGCTGACATGGCCTCACCTGCTTTCAATCTTCTCAGCAGAATGGTCACCAGCTCAGCATTAACCCTCCACACATTTGACTTAGGTTCACTTGACTCATCCGACAGCGATTCCAAGAACCTCGTCAAAGCGCGTCTATCAGCCGAAGCCATCTCTGTCAGGGCATTCAGTTCCGCCTCGCCCAAGCCCTGACGCTGGGTAACTGTTATCCATGCCGCTCCCAATTTGCCACTGTTGGACAACAGAGCAGCGCATAACTTCAACTGCAGTCCCCATGAAGGCACTTGCGGCACGGCCACATTTGTCGAGGTCATGAGAGCGACTCGCACCCATGTCGCCTCCCCACAGCACTCGTGAATGAATCTCTCCACCTCCTGTGCGAACTGGTAGAGGAGCTTCACGGCACCGACGCACTCTACCTTGTGTTCGGGAGAAAAAGAACGATCCAATGATTCTCTGCTGCTCTTGATGGCCGATTCCAACTGATCAGCAAGATATTTACACTGCCGGCGGTACGGTTTGAAATTTGTGGGATCGCTTCATGAAGTCATGCTTTGAAGCCGCGCCATACATTCAGCGACGCGGTCTATGTACCATTCTGGCGGCCTGCTTGAATCAGCAGTTTGTGACAAGCCCTCGGGAGATTAGCACCAACGCGCTCGGTAAATTAATAAGATCGCAACAAAATGATTCCGAATCTAGAGTTCTAAGTATGGTTACCGAGCGCGGTCATGTATGAGGCCAAGTTGGTCAACGCGCTCATGTATGAGGCCATACTTGGTCATTAAAAATGTTACGGTATCACTTACAAGCGCAACCCTCACGTGCGCAGCCGGGCGTTTCCACCTCACGCTTAGATCATTCTAAAGCAAACGGCATAAATTTGATCTACTCCATCCCATGCAACTCCACGGGCACCATCTCCAACGCATTTTTACAAACCCTTCTCCAGAATCCCAGAGTAGTTCTCTGGACAGCGAGCACCAAAGAGGAGCAATATTGAATGCTTTCCAATTGAAGGAAGGCATATCCGGCTCTGACCTCACCCAAATAGTGCAACAAGGGATTTTGGGTACAAACAATATAAATAAGAAATCTATTATATAAGGCAGCATAGGTATAAGATAAAGTGACAAAAATCGATTTTGATTGGCTGTTGAGAAGAAACTTTGATAACATAAAGTGGTTGGGGCTTTGGGTATCTCCAAGAATTGAATTGTTGGGAACCCAATAACTACTTGAGGAGAAAGGTGGAGAGGGTTTCAGTTTTTGATCCATGAGAGGCTTCCGTTTGTTGTTTTGCAGCAATACCTTTTTAGATCGTCAGATTTTTTTTTCTGTTTTTAAGTCTGTATCTTTTTGCTTGCAGGCAATGTTAGCTTGCGTGCGTACCCCGGAGCCGATAGGAGAGCAAAAATCAGATGGTCCCAAAAATTGGAGCCAGTGAGATTGAAAGCTATTACATACATTAAAGCAACCGTTGTGTTATTGTAACTCCCTTCGATTGCACGTAAGGATTTTGGGAGAGCACTATTCTTTGCCTGAAAGAAAACAAACATCACAAGCGACAGTAGCAAGGTCAATAACTTGAGTAATTATGTCGTCACAACAAGAACAACGGAAAGGAAAATTAGAAGTAGCACAGAACAGACACAAACAAGAAGAAGTATAGGCAACAACAAAGGAGCTACAAGAGCAAAGACGGATTTTGTACAAATTGAAACCAAAAGCGAGGCACAATCAAAACCAACAGCAGCCCAGAAAAAAGGCAAATGTGTACAGAAACCATAACCAATGTCGCAAAAAGGGAAACCAAACAAATAATGCGAGAGGTGAAACAAGTGCAAAATTAACAAAAAGAGCAACCTACTATGGAGAAAAAATCAAGAATAACAGCTCAAAGCGAAGGCAATCAAAGATATGAGGGCAACCGTTGGCAGTACAAGGGGAAAAAAAAAATTTTGTTTGTAGCAGGATCAACTTCATCGAGCAACAATCCAGAAGCAACTCAACGACAGAAGCGCAAATGATGAAGAAGATATTCAGAGCTGAAGGGTCGGATTGAGATCGGCTATAGCAATCAGCAAAGCAGGGTGAGACTCATGAGAAAAAACAGAAAATAAATATAATAAAATAAGCGGGGATAACCATCGCAGCAGCAAAGGCAACAGCAAGGGAAAAGTAGAGGGAGAAATAGAGTATCAAAGAGGAGCTATTATCTAAATCACACATCTGGTTTGTGCAAAACTGGAAGTGAAGGCAGCAAAACAAGTACAGAGCAATGAAAGAAACAAAGTGGGTGCCAAAAATATTAGCGAAGCATTTGTGAAGAGAAAAACGGAGTAAGAATTGTCAAATTCACTGTAACAAATAAATAAATGAACAAGCATAATTTTTCACAATGTAAGAAAGTATTTGGTTTTTTCACAATGTAAAGATGTAAGGAGCCGATAGGAGAGCCTTGCATAGGTTGGTTTGTTGTTGATGAGCTTAATTCGTCGCAGGTCTTTGCTCTGTCTTTGGAACTGAAGATCCCGACCCAATCAACTGGATCACTGCTCACAAATACAGCCACGATCTGCCTCTCACTTGCAGTCATGTATCAAAATAATTTCTTGAGTTTTTGTTGACATTTTTAGAATACTACTATTTGTGAAAATGAACATGATTCATAATATAATAATCTTAGAACAAAATGGATTTTAGCTACTGCTATTCTTAACAATCCTGGTTCGTAAACAAATTCTACATTGTTTTTATTCTCTTCAATGTCTCAAACAATATACGTTTGACATTCATATCATGTACTATTCAGTTATACAATTTTTCATATTTTTTCATATATATTATTCCACAGGTTACTGAAAATTTATGGCAATCATGATATCAAGTTTGTGATCATTTTTTTAACACAATAAATAGAAAGGTATATAAAAATTATTGATTGTGTGAATATGTTTTTGAACCTTGTTGATTTTTTTATTTTTTTTTATTTTTTTTCCATTGCCTTTTCAATATAAGATTAGATTAATTATTATTATATGCTACAAATTTAAAATTCTCTGTACAGTTGTGTTACAAGAAACAATATGTAATTTAAATAAATTTCATAAAATGAATTGATGCTGATTTTTTTTTGTTAAATATTAAATTCAAGATAAATTCTTTTAATTACAATAGGTAATTGACTTAAAAATCAAGGAAAAAATCAACAAAACACCAGCTCAGATTTGATGCCTGAGACAAATATCTTTACTGAACATATTTTAGACAATTCAATTGCTTAAAAGCATTTTTTTAATCCATAACTCAATAACCCTGGTTCAGCAATGAAAAAAAGAAAAACAAACAGATAAACAGATAAACTTGGTTTTTATATGTATGTGTATTTGTGATTAAACTTTCAGTTTGAGGAAATAATGCATCTGTAACTTAAGATTGTGTGTAATTTTCTGTTTTCCATCTATAACCCATTTCATGTTCAGTTATTGTATTTTGTAAATGTAAAATGGTTTTTAACAAACGACTCAGAATAAAGTCAAACGATACATAAATTAGAAAATGAAATGTTGTGTTTTTGAATAAATTTAAAATTTTGATTTATTAAAGTATTTAAAAAATACATAAAAGAGGATAAAATAGATAAATTGAGAAGTTTTTTTTTAAAAGTATAAAAAGAATCTTTTTCATCAACAACACTATATTGAATAAATTATTTATGTTTTGATTTTTGAAATATTGAAGCTTCAAGTATAAAAATAGGTACTAAATGCCACATTGATTTTCTTATGAGAAAAATTTCAGTATGCTTCAATGGATTTGTAAAACTTTGGTGCATTTTTAAATTTTTTGATAAAGAATACCATTAAAGAAAATCTGAATTTGAATCTTTTTTATTTTTCATTGATTTACAATCTTTTAAGAATTGTGATCTTCACTTGCATGACTTCTTGATACTATATTGCACTTGAGGATTTGTACCTTTATGAATTGATCCATTTGTATTAATCTTTGTAGATTTGCATGGCATAAGAAAATAAGTTCCTAAATTATATTTTAGAACATTTTTGTTGCCAATGGCATGGGTTTTTACTAGTGTATATATATATATATATATATATATTTCTACTTCAATTTAAATATAAAAAGGCTTGAGACGATTTATCTAATAAGAAGACTTCTTTTTATAATCCTAAAATGACTTTGGTAAGAAGACATGAGAAATGGTTATAGATTGTTAACAATATGTGAGACAAGAATTAAAATAGAATGATAGATGGAATTTAATAGACTAAAAGATGTGAAGCAAGAGATATACATTGAGAATGCTTTGATTGAGCAAATTTGCTTTTCATTGTTGTATAGCTCTAAGTTGTTGCAAGAGATCATGGTCTTGTGATACATTATAATGTTTTAATGTATTCACAATGTTCATTTGTTTTTTATAAGCCACAATGATGGTCACAAGGATGATTGAGTTACTTTTTATTTTCAAAATATAATATAAATTTGTATTTTTAATTTTTTTAAAAGAGATCACCAGTTTTGAAATTTTCTTATTCTATGTTTTAAAAGAATGCAACTTCATGAAAACCACACTATTATTTTTTTTTTGTAATAAAGCTAGAAAGTTTGGTTTCAATATTTCTATGCTATCTAACTTAATTTGTATTTTTTGTTTTTTTATTTTATTTTATTTTTTTTATCTTTATTGTAATAACAACCACTCTCTGAATCCTAAGCCAATGTGTCATACTAAATTTTCAAACTCTCTTCAAAGTTTGTGCAATTTTCATTTCAAAGTACATGTTGCAATCTTTTAATATAGGAGAGTACTAAGATATTAGAAG